CTACTAGGTAAGAGAGCAAGACAGCATTTTCCGCAAGCAACACAGCTTCGTGCATCACACGTATTGGAGTTAATTCATGGAGATCTATGCGGCCAAATTACACCAGCAACAGCAGAAAATAATTGGTATATCTTCGTACTTGTTGATGATCATTCCCGATACATGTGGTCCATCCTTCTGAAAGAAAAGGGAGAAGCTTTTGACAGTTAAAAAAAATTCAAGAAAAGTCGAGAGTGAGACAAAAGCATCAATCAAGACATTTAGAACAAATAGAGGTGGAGAATTTACGTCATCAGAGTTTAACTCATTCTGCGAAGACTCAGGTATAACCAGACATCTAACGGCTCCATACTCTCCACAACAAAACGGAGTTGTAGAGAGACGAAACATAACACTTTTGGAGATGACAAAAAGCTTGATGAAACACATGAAATTACCAAATGTAATTTGGGGAGAAGCGGTTAGGCATGCGACTTATTTGATCAAAAGAGTAGCAACCAGAACACTACTAGATCAGACTCCATACGAAGTGTTTAAAGGAATAAAGCCTAATGTTGCACACCTTCCTGTATTTGGTTGTATCGGCTATGCTAAAGTTGATACACCTCATCTGAGAAAGCTTGACGATCGGTCTAGAGCCGTAGTACATCTTGGCACCGAACCAAACTCTAAAGCATATAGATTATATGATCATGTCCAACGAAGAGTCGTGGCGTGACGTTTGATGAAAAGAAAAAGTGGGAATGGGGACTCATCTTCCATAGATACAAGTGAAGAAGAACCGGGTAGGTTCAAAATTACTTTTGAAGATCATGGAAATAATGGTATTCATGATCATGAACCAGATGTAGAGGAATATCATAATGAAGAGGAACATAACAACGAAACAGAGGTCTACTCTGAAAACACACAAGACAATCACGTCTCACCAAGACGGTCAACAAGAATCTTTAAGCGACCAAGCTATTTAGATGACTATGTGCAACTTTCTAAGGAAGAATGTAAGTACCTACTACTTCTGATCAATGAAACTCCATGGGACTATAGAGAAGCCATAAAAGATAAGACATGGAGAGATGCATGTGAAGATGAGATATAATCAATTATCAAAAACAACACGTGGGTTTTGGTAGATCTTCCAGCAGGGGCAAAACCAATCGGCTTGAAGTAGATATTTAAAATAAAACGTAACGCTGATGGAACTATAGGAAAATACAAGTCAAGAATTGTAGAAAAAGGTTACATACAGTGTCACAGAATAGATTTTGAGGAAGTTTTTGCTTCTGTAGCTCGTATCGAAACAGTGAGGTTTATCATCACATTGGCTGCATCAAGAGGCTGGGAGATACATCATTTAGACGTCAAGACTGTGTTTCTCCATGGTGACTTGAAAGAGACCGTGTACGTAACCCAGCCTGAGGATTTTAAAGTAGCAGGAAATGAAGGAAATGTATATAAACTAAAGAGAGCTTTGTCTGGATTAAAACAAGCTCCGAGGGCTTGGAACGAGAAACTAAACCAAGCACTTCAGGAACTTGGTTTTGAAAGATTTGCAAAGGAACCATCTCTCTACAAGAGGGTTCAAATGGAACACATCCTTTTGGTAACTGTGTACGTGGACGATTTGTTGATTACATGATCAGATCTCGATATGGTACAAGAATTTAAGTTGCGTATGTCCGAGAAATTCGAGATGAGTGACCTGGGACAACTTAAACAAGAACGATATGCGTCCAAGATTCTGAGTGAAACCAGCATGGAAGATTGCAACCCTGTTCATATACCTATGATATTCAGATTGAAAGTGTCTACAGCTCAAAACAAAGCCGATGTTGACGAAAAGGATTACAGACGGATGATTGAGTGTCTCAGGTATCTACTACACACTCGTACTGACATATCCTTCGCCGTGGGAATTTTGAGCCGATACATGCATAAATCCAAGACATCTCAAGCCACCGCGTTGAAGCAGATATTGAGGTATTTAGAAAACTTGGTTATGGTCTTGTGTTCAAACGTTTGGATGATACTAAGCTCATAGACTATAGCGATAGTAGCCATAACATATATGAGGATGATGGACGCAGCACCACTGGTCATATATTCTATCTCAATGATTGTCTGATTAGCTGGTGTTCCCAAAAGCAAGAAACAGTTGCATTGTCGCCATGTGAAGCCGAGTTCATCGCAGCCACTGAGGCAGCAAAACAAGCAATCTGGTTACAGGAGCTACTCGAAGAAGTCATCAAGAAACCTTGCGAGAAAGTGACTATAAAGATAGATAACACATCCGCCATTTCCCTCACTAAGAATCTTGTATTTCATGGAAGGAGCAAACACATACATAAGCATTATCACTTCATTCGAGAATGCATTGAGAATCAACAAGTAGATGTACAACATGTTCCGGGAAACGAATAGAAAGCCGATATCTTGACTAAGGCATTGAGAAGAATCAAGTTTAGAGAAATGAGAAAACTTGTGGGAGTCCAATATGTAGAAGAAGTTAACTTTAAGATTAAAGAAGAGAATGTTAGAAGTAATCCTAAAGTTAACTTAGAATCCAAGAAATATTAATCCTACTCGAGATTGGTTTAGGAGAAAAGGAAATATTGAATATGTTAAGTTAAGAGAGTTCAGGAAATTTAGAGATCTACATAAAGAGATATTGGTGTGTAATATTCTTTATGAGTTTTTTGAGAGATCTATTGTGAGAGCTTGAGTTTTTGAGAAATTTTTCTTAAGATATTAATAAGATTTGAGTTAGTCTTATTAAGATCTTTGAATTCATACTTTTTTGACTGAAACATAGTCCTAACAGCGATAAAAGACAGGAACCAATTTAAACCTGCTATATCATAACCAACTATTACAAACATACACATAACCATCAAGGAAATACCTATAGCCATAAATGAAATTTTAAACCCGAACAACCACATTGTAAGACGGTTGATTCGCATCGGAACAACTATCATACATCGGAGAAGAGAAGGATATGTTTTGTACCAAGAGCAAAAGGTGGAATAGGGAGATCCATAAGTCTTCAAAACGCCAAAAACGAACACCAGACAAAAAAAAAAGGATCAGCTTCAAAGACGAGATCCAAGTAGATATGCCAATGATTTATGTTACAAAAAAAAAACAGATCCGCCAATGATAGGAAAGCAAGCCACCACCAAGCCGCCAAAAGGAAAGAGGAGAACCTGAAAATATATCTAATCACCACAACAAACCTCTTACCCCATCGACAGCAAGCGACTCCAAGAACCGCTGCAGTTAGATATATTTCAGTTTCGCCAAAAAAATCTAGAGGTTCAATCATATCAAAGAGAGTAAAAAAATTGGTGAAATAAAAGGAAAAATAGAAAAAAAAAAAGATTTCTACATCAGTAACAACCAGTGCCAAAAACATATACGTTTTTTTTTTTTTTAAAGAGAATGAGAGAGATTACGATACCAAAATTTCATTTATCAAACTTGATATTTTTTTGACAAAAGAACATGTCCTTCTCTTCTCTGATGTATGATAGCTGTTCCGATGTGAAGGTTACGATGTGGTTGTATGGGTTCAAAATTTCATCAAACTTGTTACTACTCCACTACTAAGTTTACTAGAAATATGCTAGAAATAATATAACTTAATAAAATAAGAGAGTTTCTGTTGATAAAAATACTAGTTCCATACGGTTGATCATCCATAAATGTAGTAAGCAGCAATATATATTACACTATAAAATTTGAGGATTTTTAGGTTTCAGCTTAATAATAAGATCTCAATTTTCTTTTGTCACGAGATGTTCTCAAATAGCTAAAAGAAGAAAAACAAAAGAAATTATCCAAAAAGAAAGTACATGGAGTTATAAAAAAAAAAATATACACTGAGTAGGTTTCATTGTGCAATAAATTATAAGAAATGATTGAAGTTATAGTGTTATATACAAACACATCCTTCTGAATATAAAACGTCTCTTTTCAATTATTTTCGTGAAAAGGATATTCCTGTGTTTCTTATTGTAAGACGTTTTTGGAAAAAGGAAATTTTAAGTTATATGTTATTTTTGATTCCAATACAAATTTATTAATTTTTGTGTAATACTCCATCGGTTTCAAAAAGTTAAACATTTTAAATTTTTCACACATATTAAAAAAATATAAAATTTTGATTATAATATATTATTTATTATAGATAACAAATCTCTATATTTTTTAACTAATAAAATTTTAAGAAACACAATTAATTTTTTTGGAAACTACAATTTTTCATTAGATAATAATACATTGAAAATGTAAAAAAATAGATTTTTTGAAACAAATATTATTTTTAGAATGTTCATCTTTTTGAAACGGAGGGAGTATAATTTTTATATTTTATAGATTGTTTTTAAATTGGTTGAGATATGGTTAATTATATATTTAATGATGTTTACATTTAGAAAATATATAAAATTAAATATTTTATTAATTTTGTCTCTTCCCCAAAATGTCTTATATTAAAAAAGGAAAGGACTGATACTTATTTTCAACCAATCACAAGGAGACACAAATACATATTTATTAGAGGCTATTAATTGAAGTCTCGCATATTTTGCATAGAAAACGAAATGAGTGACCCGCTGAATTTGCTTTAGCTCCAGTATGTCAAACTATCTAGATGCCAACACAGCAAATTACACTATAATTAAAAGACTCAAATAATTAAAAAGAAAAAAATTATACAAAAGAAGAAGGAATCCATCATCAAAAGTTCATAAAGTTTCAATATAATTAATGCATTTTGCCTTCTTGTCATCTCTCCTATCTTCTACTTATATACTACATCTTCACACCCCCAAAACTCAACACACACATACACAATCTCTCTACAAAATTTTCCAAAGTTTCAATCTTCCAATTTTAAATTTCTCTAAAATAAATTCACATTTCCTCTGTTGCAAATTCAAGTTCAGTGAAATTCAACACACATCAAAACATTAAAACTTTCTTTATACTGAATTCATATGGATCTTTCATATACACTCATCAAAGAGGAGTTTCCTACTGGTGTCAGTGATTCTCCATCACCAGCATCTTCTTACCTCCATTCAAACTCCATGGCCCCAATTGATCCAACCACATTAAGCTCTCCGCAACCAATAGAAGGTCTCCGCGAATCAGGCCCACCTCCATTTCTGACAAAGACATATGATTTGGTGGAAGATTCAAGAACCAATGATGTTGTGTCTTGGAGCCAAGACAAAAACAGCTTCATTGTCTGGGATCCACAAGCTTTTTCCATGACTCTCCTCCCCAGATTTTTCAAGCACAATAACTTCTCTAGCTTTGTTCGCCAGCTCAACACATATGTAAGCTCAATCTTTCTTTTTATATATATATATATATATACACTTGTATACATGTGGTTGTTATGTGATTCCATGCATGGCACGAAACTAGAGAGATCTAACAACTCACAATCAAATCGTGACAGTAACTATTGGGTCATATTTTTACAAAAGTAAAAATAAAAACTATTGGGTCATACACTTGTAAATCATTCCCTGTGGTGCAGTCAAGTTTTGAATTGACTCTTGAGACTTGGCTTTTGATTATTGTTTTTGTTTCTTTTATACCATCAGAGTAGTAATTACTATATAATTGCTCGACGGATTCGTTAGTGTATATACATAAATGCAAATAGGCATTTTGTTCTCGGAAAAATCTCGCCTTATAATATTTTACATCCCTCTTGTGGATTTTGTGTTTTTTGTCTCTAGAGATCTCTTGAAACGGAGCTCAATCAAATGTTTAACAGTTGATTGTTAGAAATCTCCAAGGAGATTTTTCTAAAACATTGATTAATATGATGTGCAGCTATGTTTTTCTCACTCTCTCTCTCTCTCTATAATATATATACAGAAATGAAAGTATAACTATATGAATACCCTCTCTTACCAAGTTGCACAAAATACACAAGATAGATAATGAGAAGGGTTAGAGTAGTTGGAGTATTTTGGACTTCTGATATAATATTAAGTTAACTACTAGCTTTTGGAGTTGTGTCTAACCATAAAATTATATAATAGGGTTTCAGAAAGGTGAATCCGGATCGATGGGAGTTCGCAAATAAAGGGTTTCTTAGAGGGCAAAAGCATCTCCTCAAGACAATAAGCAGAAGAAAGACAAATAACAATAATCAAATGCAACCACCTGAATCATCCTCTCATCAACAATCACCAGACAATTGTTGCATAGAAGTTGATCGATATGGTCTAGATGGAGAAATGGACAGCCTAAGGCGAGACAAGCAAGTGCTGATGATGGAGCTAGTGAAACTGAGAAAGGAACAACAAAGCACCAAAATGTATCTTACATTGACTGAAGAAAAGCTAAAGAAGACTGAATCAAAACAACAGCAAATGATGAGCTTCCTCGCCCGCGCGATGCAGAATCCCAATTTCCTTCAGCACCTCGCGAAGCAGAAAGAGAAGAGTAAGGATATGGAAGAAGCAATCAGAAAAAAGCGACAGCGGCCCATAGATCAAGGGACAATTGACGTGGCTAATGTAGAAGATTGTGATGATGATGGCGGTGGTGGAGGTGGTTATGGAAGGCATGGAAACGATGATGGGTCCTCCTCGAGGTTTGTTGACATGAAGCAAGAAATATACGGAGACATGACTGAATTTGAAATGTTGGAGTTGGACAGACTTGATGTGCACAATCAAGGACTTGGAGATCAGTTCACTGGGGAAGAAGCCTTGGATGTGGAAAAAAGTGATGAAGAAAGAGAACAAGGGTTCCTAAAGGATAACAAAGAGACTTATGGTGAAGATTTTTTGGAAGATTTATTTAAGGAAGGTCAAAATATTGACTTTGAACGAGATGAAGAAAATGTTGATGTGCTCATTGAGCAACTTGGTTATTTGGCATCTAGTTCACACTAACAGAGAAGAATTTAAAAACATTTGAATCAACTTGTTTTCATATTTGATGGCTTTATTCCAGTTAGGTGATTATGTTCTTGTTTCTTTTGATGTTTTTTTCGGAAATGAAATTATTGTTTTGAAAAACTAAAATGATTTGCTGTTCTAACTAGTTTTGGGCCATGAACAAATTTCCTACGAGTCTTTTTAGCATATATATTTTTCATAACAAAATATTTATTAATTTTTTTTTTTTGACAACGAAAGGCTGATCTATTACTCAAGCTTGAGGTGGTCTGGGAATCTAGACCGGAATAGAACAACCAACATACATGAGATCCCGATAAAAGGATTGGGCAGTCTTAGCTAAGTGATCGGACACAACATTTAGAGATCGAGGTACATATGATATCTTAAAATCTGGGAAGCAAATCCTCAGCGTTGAGATCCTCTCTAGTTCCGTCGAAAAGCTTGGCCATCCAATGGGATCCTTGAGCATTGCTATCAATTCCTTGCAGTCCGTCCCAAAGCTCTGACATGGCGAATGTTAAAGCATGTTCTCCATTGCCCACCGCAGCGCTTCCAGCTCAGAGTGCAAAGCCGACTCCACTCTACTCATATTCCGCATCCCCATCAGTCTACTGTCTCCCATCCTATCCTTCCAGTCCCATCCACACCCGGAAAATTGGTCTATAGAGGTCCAAGAACCATCAACCATGCAGATATCTCGTAGGCTTATGGCCTGCCGATCAGTATCGCCGTCCTCGTGTGTAAATCACAGCCTCCTGCTCATTAGCTTGGAACCAGGCAAGACACTCACTTTCTGCATACCGGGCCAACTCTAAAGGATCTCTATCTATCCCTCTGAACAACTTATCATTACGAGCTTTCCAGATGTACCATATCAGCCAAGGATAGGGGTCCCTTTCGGACTCTATCCCACAAAAGATATTTTTCCGCCAGAATAGGTAATCCATATTCGCATATGTGCTCTCCAAGGGAAATATAATTGGGTTGGTAGGTATAGATGCTAAAGCCCATACCTGTAAAGCCGGTGGGCATTGGAAAATTGCATGTGCAATTGTCTCATCCGGTTCTCCACATCGTGGACATACATTATCGCATCTGAAGTGTCTATGGTTCAATGCACTCATAACAGCCACCTGCCCCAAAATTATCTGCCACATAAGATGACACATCTTCGGGGGCGCTTTAACTTTCCAAACTTGGGCTTGAAGTCTTTTAAAGTTAGGTTCATCTACTAGATACTCATCCTCCTTCGTCAGTATGTTACGAGCTACCCAATAGCCGGACTTAACTGTGTACTGTCCACTCCTTGTGTAACTCCAGCAATATGTATCTCTGTGATGGGTTGAACTAATAGCCATACTCCTTATGAGAGGAATATCAGCAGCGTCAACATATTGTGTCAACCGATCCAGGTCCCAAAACTTTGATACTTGATCAATAAGATCACTCACTCTCATATTCGGATGCATCACCGGAGCTAACGCATGCGCTGGCCTCGCTGGGACTGAAGGGATCCATGGATCCTCCCATACCTTCACTTCATAGCCTGAATTTGTTAAGTTTGGAGAATGGGGATATTAGGTATGAGTTTCAAATCTTTCAATATTTGTTAAGTTTTCGATTTATTATAATTACTCTAAAGAATTGGGTTTGGAAATTAGATACGATCTCCGATTGGAGAATGGGGATATTAGGTTTCCATAAACTTAAGGTTTAAAGATCTCGTATCCTACAAGAGAATTATAATTGGATTGATCCTTATTTCAAATCATCGATTACGGTTGCTACAGTTGAATTTTCTTCTCATTTGATTGAAAGCATTATGGAAACTAGAATCAGGGGTCTTGAATTAAGAAAATCGAATACATATATTCTCTTCTTAGTATATATCTGGGCTCATAATAAAGCTTCTAAGACATCATTTCTATCCTATTTCGCTAATAAGCTTCACAAGTTCTTCCTTTGTTTAAGTTCTAATTGTTTTTTCTCGGTTCTAATGTCTCAGTCACAATGGGTGACAAAGTCAGGTGGCAAAACTGTGGAGGTTTCCAAACCCAAGTTGAAGATATCGGTGCCAAGGTTTGATAAGACGGAGCTCATTGCACAATATGGCAAAACGGTGATTGGGAGATGTATGAATCCTCCCAAGCAAGAGATGAAAAATCTGCTCTTTATGTTGCCACGTTTTTGGCAAGTTGAGGGGCGTGTGGTGGGAGCTGACTTGGGGTTGGGTCGCTTTAGATTCGACTTTGACCATGAAGAAGACATTATCGACGTCATGAAGATGGAGCCATTCCACTTTGACCATTGGATGATCTCTTTGGTGCGTTGGAAGCCGGTTCTAGAACCTAATTATCCATCACGCATCACCTTCTGGGTTCGGGTGATTGATGTCCCTATGCAGTTCTGGGCAGAATCCACCTTCTGCAGTGTGGGTGCAGCTATAGGCCAGGTCATTGGAGATGTGGATTTGATGGAAGGTAGAGTGAGAGTGGAGCTGGATGGGTTTAAGCCATTGATTTTTTCAATGGAAGTTGATTTCGAAGAAGGAGTGGAGCTTGAGGTGAAGCTGTGATATGAGAGACTCTTCGGGTTTTGTAGAGTTTGCTGTCGCATGACACATGATCAAACGAGATGTCCAGAAAGAGCGACAGAAGCCAAAGACTTGATTGCCTCAGATGTGGTTGTAGATCAAGGTAAAAAGGCCATGAGTTACAAAACTGCTGTTGGCAGTGAAAGCAACTTATATGGTGCTCACAACGAGAATACTAGGATGCGTCAAAGTGGTATCAATGATCGAGCCAAAGTAAAGGATGCAGCACAAGATACTCAGAGGGAGTATAAACAAGGTGGTCGCTATCGTGGGCTGAGAGACAGACCCATACGTGAAATTGGAGAGGGTTCATCTCGTGGTGGAAGACAAAATAGCTATGGCATGCCTAGAGAAGATCAACGCCGTTTTGCCATTAACACCAGAGGAATCCAACAATTGAGGAATGGCCAGAGAGGGAATCTAAATGAGCACGAGCAGCTCATGATGGATGCCTTCAAGGAGCCCTCTCAAGTGCCTGCGAGGGATCAGGAAAAGGCCAGGGTGGAAAAGCCTTCCAGTGCTAGGAAATCTCTAAATTTTGAGTCAACGGTGGAAGTTACTGAGAATGTGTTGTTGCCTCAGGGTTCTACCAGTAATGTGGAGATGGTTCATGATCACCAAATGGAGACGAACGAATACTTGGATATGGTCACTGATGATCAACCGTTGGCTTTGGATGAAGCTAACCTGATGTTGGAGGGAGTATTATTGTCGGATTCTGAGCTGGTAGATGAAGATTGGGAGGATGGTGAATTCCCGGAGCTCATGGAAGAGACGGAGGAGATACAGGACACTGTTAAGTTGTCTGAGACAACCCATGAGGATAAGATCACGCAAGAAGAAACAAACGTAGAGGAGGGCCCTGTCAAAGTGTCTAAGAAGAAAACCATCAAAGCTGGGATCAACAAGACCCGTCTCGTGCATAAGCTACTCTCACCAAAGAAGGGTAAGATCTCTAAGCCATCAATGAAGAATGGAGACAAAGGTAATGGAGATGGTAAGAAGAATGGTGGTAAGCACTAAGAAAGTGTGTCTTTTTTTCTGTTTTTCTTTTTTAAAAAAAATTCCAATAAATGTCGGATTATCTTATAAAATCCATGTTCTTAGATTGCTGTGAGCCTTGGTTATGGGATATTATTCCTCCAGAGGTAGCTTTGTTTGACCTGAAATGTAGGGTCTCTTTTGTTTCTCTTTCTAGTAATAAAAGGTTACCATATTGGTACTATGATGTCTTGGTTTTAATTTGTCTAAAACATGTTATAGGTCTAATAGAATCAAGTAAGGATAGGGAATCAATATTGATTAGTAGTGATGTTTGGGTGTGCACAAGAAATTACTCCTCGAATCTTGTGGCTGGATATTTGACCATGTTTCGGCTTTATTTGGGCTCTTTGAGTATGTCGAATCTCTGTGATGTGTGCTGGTGGTTTGAAAATATACTTACTAGAAGATGTTATCAAATACGGTTACAGGCCATGGTTTTAATTGTACATTCCTGTGATGTGTTTTTATTGACCGGGTGCAGAGGCAGAATAGATGAACAATTTATTTCTTTTGCAGCTGAATGCCTTTTATTTTTTTCTGTCCCGTGGGCACAAGTGACTGATGATGATTGTGGTTACATGTGTGAGGGTGATCCTAGGCTAGACGATCTCTTTTGGTGGGGTATTACTCATCTTGAGTTATGGAGGATGACCCTTGGAAGTTGTTTCCGGATTGATGTAAGGCACAGGAGATATGTTTCTCGAATGTATACCAAAGGAAGTTGTCAGAACAATTGGCTTTGGCTGAGGCTTGATGAAGGGAATAAGACAGAAGGGATGAGGGCAAACATTCATATAATATGGTTTGGTGTTGATATTTATTCTCGTTTGTTGCCTATTAGAGATGAGAACTGGAGGATGATAGTGATTCTGGCGAAACGTTATGTTATTTATGATTTCAGTTTGGGGTATATTACAATATTCAGCTCTTGTGGATATAAATAATCTGATACTATTTTGGGTGGTTTGCATTATTATATGGAGTATGATTCGTATGATAATAATTAATTTGGTCTCTATAATAAGTATGGTAAATTTTGTTCCCATGGTGTCTAAGTATATAAAAAATAAATTGTTTCTTAAGGCACATGGCCACGATTTGGCTAACACAAAGACACGGCATATAACAAACTTTATTTATTCATTTATATCATGAGTATATTAAGTTGGAATTGTCGGGGTGCGGGAGGTTCAGATACTGTTCAACGGATCCGGGATTTTCGCCGCCAATACTTCCCAGATTTTTTATTTCTTATGGAAACCAAACAAAAAGTGGCGTATATGGAATCTCTAAAATCTAGTTTGGGTTATGATCATTTACATACGGTCGAACCACTTGGGCGTAGTGGTGGTCT